AGGTTTATTTCTGCGTTCAGACACAGGGGAGAGCTGAGGCCAGGACTCCTGAATGGCAACCTCAAGGCATATAAATCACCTGCAGTATGTGTGGAGTTTGATTACCACACCAGGGCTGGAACCACAAGGGCCCAGTGCTGAAAGATCAGCCAAGTTACCGACTTAAAACTGAGTCAATCAAGGCTGCTCCATAACAATCTGTGTGTGCTGATAAAACAGAGAGAACAACAGAGCATCCTTTAAAACAGGACATGGAGATAAGATAAGTAGCTTGGTGAAAGTCTTAGTGAAAGTATCTGGGTGGTTTGGTTTTATTGTTCCAGTGAGTCGTAATTGACAGTGTGAGGGGTCATAAGTAGAAAGGGCTGCAAAAATAGTTAGCCGAACAGAAGGTCCCATTTCTCCAGAGCCAGTTGACAACACTTCTATTTATAGTGAGGATTGTCCTTGGGTATTTTTAAAAAAAGATGTGTGTGTGTGTGTGTGTCTGTGTGTAAAGCAGAAGAGGATGAGGATTTCTCAGAGAAGACAGGAAGAAGATCCTATTACAGCAGCAACCTCAGACACTGCTCGGCTCATGCGTCACGCCCGCCAGCTTATATCACTCCCCTCAAACCTTGTCCTCCGTCTCCCCCTTCGTACACTTAATGTCACACATTCCATGTAGCTTTGGGTTTGTCCGTAATCTTTTCCACTGAAGAAAATTATACACACACATCCTAGGTCTATTTTTATCCCACAGCAGGGTTTTAAGGTATAACTCGGTTGACTCCTTGTCTTGCTGCATGCCTTACAAGGACCCCCTCTGTGGACACCATCACTTAGCAACCGTCAGTGTTTACGCCTAAGCTGTGAAGGTCCCACGGCCGACCTCACTGCCCTTCAGCATCTTAATTACTAGCGCCGCCTTGTACCTTCCCACTCTTTTCGTCATTGGTGCCTTGATCCTCATGAGGTATCGTTCAGCAAAGAAAAAAAACATAAATGTGGCGATAGAAGATGGAAATCTGAATAAATCCAGGGTGTCGCGTTTCCTTCTACTTTACAATAATCCAGCTCTGTATCCGGCTTCATCACATGCCATACCAATGAAATCTATGTTAACTGTAACTTGTAACATGAGTAAACGTGGGAAAACATCAAAGTGTATAAATACTTTTTGGAGAAATCCATTTCTGTACCACACAGAGATGTGTGTTACCTTTACCTTTTCTTATTTAGGTTTTCTAGAATATAACTGGGTGCTGTTCAGTGATGGATAGATGACCACATCTTTTGCCAGTGACAGGGGTTAAGCACCAGCCCACCCCAACCCTGCCTGGTTAAGAGGGTATGGATGGATGCCTCTAAGAGGACTTGGATATATTGCCAGGTGTGAATGTGGCTGTGTTATATAAGGGCAGGGATTCAGAGGTAAACATGTTTCACTGGCAGTTTTATTTAATTTAATTCCACCTTTTAAACTGTACCAGTAAAATGCTTATATGCACAATGTTTAGAGAGCTGGTTCAATGTTTACCCACTCGTCTTAGTAGGAGTTGGAGTTTAAACTGGTTAATCTTTCCAGGCCTTTCACATGTCCAATTAGGAGATTCTGCAGGACAATTCCCCCAAAAAAGCCTGTTTCAATTGTTTTTAATTCAAACATCTGAAATGGATAACTAAAACCAAACCACAAATAACCAATGGAATTAAAGCAGGTTTAACATCCACTTGAACAGAGAAAATGTGTCAGAATGAAAAACAGCTAATTAATCACTTACAGCTTCCACATCAGCTAAAATCTACAGATCCTCCTGTTGAAAAGCCAAACGCTTCCCTGTCAGAGAGGACGATTGTCGAGCTTTTTGCTCTGAATGACAAGCAGAATTATTAATGGAGACAAGAGAAGCTCCAAACCTGAGAAGAGTCAACCAATGGGGGAGTATGACGGTGGAAGCATCATGCTGAGGGCCTGTTTCGCTGCACATGAAAAGGCACGGCTACATCCAGGCTCTCTCAACATTTTTCTAAGTTAGATGGATAAATTAAGAACACAGAACACATTAAAACTAGCTTTAAGCTGCTTTCAAACGAAGTCCAGTTTTAACCTCAGTCCTGCTAGAGTTGTTGGTAAAAGCCAGGAAACTGATCAATTTTATTTAACAACAGCATCTCTGAATATTTAGTCAGAAACATGGCAGAAGTTAGTAAAAAAAAAAAAAAACTCTATACAACTTGAGACGTTCAGCAAAAAGTGGGGATTTTAGCTTGTTGTTTGGTTTATCATCATTTAAGTCTGAAAAAAAATGCAATATTATAAACATTTGTTAATTCATTGACACAACAGAATCCTGATACGACTGAATTTACTGTATTCAGCTATAAGTTGCCTTGGAAGTACAAATATATTACAAGAAATAAAATGTTTTTTTAACAAAACATCTATCAAATTTAATAAATTTAACTGATTTCTGTCATTATCTTGAAATGGTGGTGAATTTTTTGTCAGCTTTTTCATTACAAGCAGATATAAGGATCATTATAATTCACCTTGTTAGAAAAAAAAAAACATGAACCGATTGTACCCTGACACCCAGGGTTCATTATCCCCCAGAGAGGCGTGTTGATCGTCTCACAGTGACAGAGAGCCGGGATAATGATGACAGGAACTGGGAGGACAGTGGATGGGCAGAAATGTCAAGGCCATTAGAGGGAGGTAGAGTGACATGTTGGAAGATAAGTAGGTATCTATGCAGTTTAAGGGGAAGATTTTCAGAACAGTAAGTGGTATAATTGAATTAATTAGAGCAATACTTAAATCTGTGCTTCCTAGTGGTTGCTGTAAAACATTTTGCTGGGTAGAGCACAATGAACTATTTAAAAGCTTTTTCACAGAAATGTGGGCATAATCTACTTTTAGTGCAGAAGTATTCATACCCCCTCTGTGCATTTTCAGTTTTTTTGTACTTGTGTGTATTTTGTAGGAATTTTTTGTGATATTACAAACCAAAAAAAAAACATATCTAAGCAACATATTTCAGCTCTTTATACTGTGACATCTTTTAATAATCCAGAGCGACAGCTAGTAGTATGTTTGTTTATTTACCCGTTAACCACTGACAAGCAACTTAAAAGCCATGGATCATGGCAAACAGATCAGAGATCAGTTCTGGGGAAGATTAAAGCAGGATAGCGGTACATTTAATATAATATATATATATATATATATATATATATATATATATATATATATATATATATATATATATATATATATCACTATGGTCTAAAGGAAGCCATACGATGAACTGACCATACGAGCCGTCCGTTTTTTAAAATTATTATAATTTTTTTTTCATCAAAATAAAAATGCTATGTTTACTGTTGGTCATTAAAACTTATTGAAATACACATAAACTTTGTAATGTATAAAACCCCAAGGGATAAAACAGACTTATGCAAGAAGATCTGCAATGTTTAGAATATTTAAAGCACACCACCTCAAAACAAAGATTTGAGAATATTTTTTTCTTTATTCTCAGATAACACAATAAACACAAGTGTGTCATGACAGACAACCTGCAGAATGAAAAATGTATTGCTCGCACAAAAGTACAAAAACCTTTCTGTCCATTCAGTTTTTGTCTCCACTTTCCTCAAACTATTACATACAGAAATCCCATGTAATGACTTAAATGACACAGTTTTCTAGACATCTATTGCATTCTTATTTCTCCTGGAGGAATATAAACCTCTGACTGTACACATAGGAGGATCTGAGCAGTCAGAAGTAGTTCCAGCGATGGCCATAAGGGGGCGGGCAGTTTCCCACTTGATATAGCATTGCTTAAAAATCAGTGAAATTTGGACATAATTGAGAAAAGAAATATATACATACATATATATTAAACAAGAATGAAATTTAAAATATAGTAATTTCCAGTTTTAAGCTATTTCCCCTGAAATGCTGGATCACAGTAAAAAGATTTCATAACAAAGCAGCAATATTTATCATACATGGAAATTTAAAAAATATCAAATAGTGTTTTAGCCCAAAACTTCTTCATATATAATTCTAAAGCTGAGAAGAAGACAAAACAGGTAAGCCCTGAAAGGAAGGCATTTTTTCCCACTTTTTTACTTTTTTGAATCCTAAGCAGATAAAAAGAAACCCCAATTATCGCATATGGCATTAAAGAGAATTTTTTAAAGGTTTAAAATTACCTGCAAAAATCTACAAGCAGCTGAAAGTTAGCTTTCAGCTTTCCTAACCTGAAACAAAGTGGTGGCAGCATTATGCTGTGGGGATACTTCTTTTCAACAGACACATGGAAGTTCTATAACGTTAATGGATGATGTAAGAAGTTACAAAAAGGGGGAAAACTTGAGTGGGTAGAAAAATAAAATAAAGATACAGCACACAATGCATACAAATGTATTTCAAAAGTGTAAAATTGAACAAAAGTCAGAAAAGGTGTCTTTTTTTTTATTCTAATAAAATTTTACATTTCCTTTAGACTTCTAATCTAATTTGCAGTATTTGCTCTATGTATCTCCAAAACATATCTGCATTCTTATAAGGTAAAATCATTTATATAGCAAGGCGGCATAAACAGACTATTTCTGTCTTTTATGACGTGTTATTAGAGAAAAACATGAAATAATTTATATTTCAATAAATCATTGTGGCTTACCTTTTAGGGTTGGAATAAAGATAATAAAGAGATCTGTTTATTTCTTTTTAAACATTTTGCCCAAACCACTAAACCTACAGACACAGAAAGTTTTTTTTTTAGGCTTTCATTTAACAAGTCACAAATTAAGAATTTGGTAAAAAAAAAAAAAAAAAAATTGACAAAGTTGTTAACTGACTGATTGTCAAGCTGTTTGAGGTGTTTTTTTTTGGACAGTGATTCATTAAAATCTGCAGCTCCTTCATATTCCCTCACGAGTCAAACAAACACTCAGAAAAAGAGAACTTAGACCTTTGTTTCATCGGCTTTTTATATATATATATATATATATATATATCTTTATATATATTGTCTGGTTAGAAGAACATAAAAATAAACAGTATTATATATGGATTATAATAACATGAGGAATATTACTTAGAAGAATACTATTTTTTACAGAACAGCATTAACTCTTTATGGTGTACTTCTCTTTCATCATCATTGTAATAAAATACCTTTCTCTGATATCTCTTGGAAAGATTTCCAAAAATAAAAATGTGTGTTTCAGGGGAACTGAGGTGTCCTATAGGTTGCTGAAGAGCTCGTTTTTCTTGGTCCAATCCATGGGCGGGGCTCTCTTGTTGGAGCGTTTCTGGTGGGTGAGCTCTTTGACCTGCTGCAGGGTGAGGTTGAGAGCCGGGATGGCGTTTGTGACAAAACCCTGAGTCGGAGATTAAAATAAAGAGGAAAATGTAAACATTCATGTCTGAAACAAGCTTGGCTTTAAGAGCTAAATCACATGTGGCCGACTCTTTTTTTTGTACCTCAGGTGGAGTGTTTGCACTCGGGGTTGTGAGGGAGGTGTTGGACGATGCGTTGGACGGCGAAGGACTTACTGAGAGCTTTGAGTTCCTCTCTGTTTCTTTGCTCACTCTCCCATTCACCTAAACAGGGACAACATTTTATCAATATCTCTTTATAATATTGAGCCAAAAATCTTTTACTTTATGCAGTAACATAAACTTAAATAGTGTTGGCCTAGTGGGTTAGAGCAGTGCACTTGTGCTCTGAGAGGGTTCCAGGTACCCAGTTTTGTTTCCCACAGCCTCAACTCTGAGTTCCTGAGGAAGACCCTTAACCCCTGATTGCTTCCTGGGCGCCACACAATACCAGCCCACTGTACCCCAAGGGGATGGCTAAAATGCAGAGGTTAATTTATCCAACGTGACATCAATAAAAACTCAATTATTAACAATAAATTTAATCAAAACAGCAGGCATTTCATCCTTCTTGTAGTATCCACTTCAGCCACGTGAGGGCAGAGTTGGATTTGAGATAGAAAGATAAGACTCATTTGAGGCACAGGATAAAAATATGTTTCTGTTAAAAATAATTAATAAATATTAAAATAGAATAACTGGTACTGATAAGTTTAACATCAACTAAATATTCTAAAACATATTAACTATTTATTAAATCTGTAAACCTCTTTTTGGAATAACTATAAAGAATTTGATTCAAAATACCCTAATCTGGTTTCTTGTCAAAGAAACCTTTATTTGCTTTTTTTTTATTGTCTAAACATCTCCAGCTCATTGTTCGTTAGCTTGTTAAAATGTTACAAATTTTACCTTTTAATACGCTAAAACATTTAATCTTATGCCTGACCTACAGCTTCGTCCTGTTCTCTTCACGGCTCATCAGTGCTCGTTACACAACAATATGTGGAACAAGTACCTGGCCTGTTGCAGATAGCGTTCCTGAGTAACAGGAAGTGCTGGTTAGGTTTCACTCAGCCAATAATGGTCCGAATAAACAATGGAGTTACTCCTGTTCTAGAGTATTCATCTAAAAATATACTGCCATTAAATGTAGTGCCTCCACGCTGTAACGGATGATTTATCCAGTGATGCAATATATGTGGAAAAACTGCAGATTTCAGAGCTTCTGTTTGTTTATGCAACACTAGGTTTTAAAGAAACGGTTTCACAATTAGGGGAAATTGGTGGAAAGGTAAATAGTGATTCAAAAGTAGCCTGTGTCCTAGGTCACTTGTCTGGTGTATTCATAACATGGGTTTGAAAATGAACTAATTTTAATGCTTTCTGCCAATAACCAATCCAACACAGTTTTTATAATTCTTTTAATAAAAAATCTGCTGCTTTTTTTTCGTAGTAACCGACTGGGGCTTCAGCTGGAAATCTACTTAATTAATTGAAACTGACTGCACACATCTGGGACTTTTTCATATCTAAATTAAAAATTTTTTAATTGAAGATTTAATTTTGTCCAGTTTAAAAGATGTTTTTTTTATTCAGTGAGAATTCCAGAGCCAAAAAAACTAATTTAGACTACAGATGCATAGATAGCTATACTGCTATTTTGTCCTGATACCAATGTTGAGTGTTCATACTTGTGCTTGTAAAACAAAAACTGATATTCTGAACTGATACCACTTCTATATTTAATAAAGATTACAGTATCAGAACCAATAAGTTTATCCTAGCTGCAGCTGTCAAGAGGCCCCTCCCTGTAGTAAAAAAGGCTCCTCTACTGAAACCAAGCTGCACTGAATCCATGCTAAAAGTTGGACTTTTCTATCCAACAGAGCTTTTATTAAGCACTCGTGTTAAAGTATTGGCAAGTACTAAAATTTATTAAAATAAATCTGGTATGGGGACATCCCTACTTTAAAATCACTTTTCATTTGCCATCATTTAAATACACTTAGCTGAGTCCCTGCACTCCTAAAATAAACCTAAACAGCATCGGCTTTAAAAACAAAAAGCCAAAGGTTGGTACAGTTACTAGATATTTTCACATGTAGTTTCTCAGAGATAGAAAGCCTTTAATTTGCTAGTTTCAAATAGATATAAAACTATACAGAAACCTGAAATACCAACATATTTGGTTCTTCTGTTTATACCACAGTTCCATAATTAGTTATTGCCTTTTGATTTTTAATCCAAAAATTGACATTATCCTTTTTAAGTTGAACACATTATAACCAAGTTTACCTTAGCTTAGCACACCACATCTTTAAGTCATTCTTTCATTATAGCACAGCTTGGTTAAGCTTAGCATAGCAGAGTTTAGTTTATCCTAGCTTGACAGATTCTTGCTTAACTTATTTAAATTAATGCATTAAACTATCTAAAGTTTTTAGGTTAAATAAAGATATTTCCTGAAATTAGAACTGGAAACTTTTCCCGATGAAAATGCCAATCATGACAAAATTATTTTCTATTCCTCTTTATTTTTCCTCCTATTTTATCATTTCCATTTTCTCCACTTTAAACCTTAGATTTTACCTTTATGGACTTTTTAGTTGCACACTATACTGTAGATATTGCATGTTTATTTTTCCTGTTATTACATTTTTTTTTATTTTTTATTAATACCTCATTTACAGCCCATAAATCATCCAGATGTTAATGGAGATGGGTGGATTCTTTTAAAAGATCCCCACCCCATAGAAAGGAGATCAGTCAGACAATGACAGGAAAGGCTGTTCTGTAAACGTCTCTGATTAATAACTCACTTCATCAGCGTTTTAATTCTCTGTCATGACACGGCACTTTAACAAAAAAACAAAACAAAAAAAACTAAACAACAGAGAGCGATATCTTGTTTTGAACGTCCTTGGTTTGTTAAACAGCATTGTGCTACACAAGTACTGAAGAAAACCTGCAGAAAACTATTTCTGTCCTCTTTCTGGCAGGAGGAAGATTGTATTAGAGAAAAGGGAAGCAACCTCTGTGGGCGACTGGCCATCTTTGCGCATTTCAAGGTTCACCTCTTGCCATTTAAAAAAAAACAAACTATCCTACAACATATAAAATCCCAGGTCCCTCTTGGAAAAGTTGCTAGTAAATCTTACCTTCTCTTCCGTTTCCCCATTAACAACAGGCTCTGGAAGAGGACCTGAAATGAAAAACATCCGCATAGTTAATCGTACAAATAAAAATGCCTCAATCAACTATTAAAAACAAAAAAGACACTTGTTTATTGCAGACATCATCAATCTTTAGCTTTACCTTCCATCTCACCAACCCCCGAATTTCCAGTTTATTTTTTTGTTTTAATTCAATGATCCTTTTTTAATATATATACATAAACATATATTTTTTAAGTCATTTAAGATGTAAGCCTTCTGATCTTTTTCTGCCTATGTATGTTTTTGACCCACTCTCTTATAGTAATCTCCACATGTCCTAACAGGTTCAGCCCCGGCCTGAGCGACTGCTCAAAGTGGGCACTGTGGAAACCAAACAAGGTGCTGCCCAGCGATGCTGCTTGGAGACATGCAGCAGTGTGTGTCGGTTTGCCGTGTGAGAGTGGGCAGCGTGTGGAGAGCTGGCAGTTACCTGGGAAACACCTCGCTGGAATCCTTCCCCTGAAAGGAAGATTATTATTTCTAACTCTGGACTGGGCAAACTGTATTTCTTACCACAGGAATACAAAAAGTAGCCTCAGGTTAATAAAAGGGTTTCACACTGTGATAACATTGAATAAAAACGAACAGGGATTCATGATATGAACGAATAAGTATCAAACAAAGGGAGGCTGGTTATTTCAAGTGCTTTTTGTACTCATTATGACACGTTTTTAACCATTCAGCATTTTACAGAATAGACAGAGTCCAACAAGATGATGTTAGAGGATTAAGATATCTAATCCAGCACATAAAACAAACATTAAACCTCTTTAAGTATTGTTTAAAATGCATAAAATTTAGACTTAAACAACTTTTATTGTTGGTTTGTATACACAAAGTACGTACAAAACGAAATTTTGTTTTGTACAGCTTTTCATGACACTACCATTTCTTAAAGTGCAGCAGTGATCAAATGTTAACAGTTTGGGAGAGAAAACATGGTGCAAAGAAAACGCATTGATATGGAAGTTCAGAGCATTAAATACATATGCTGCAATTGTGCAGAGTTTTTGTTTGGTGTTTTCAGTTTGATGCAGAGTCTGTTACAAGATTTAGTTTTTTGAAACTCTAAATTAAACCTAGATGTACCATAATAGGGATCAATGCCAAACAGAAAGGTTTATTGTTAATCAAAAACACTTTATAGTATATCTGAGCTTAAAAGACAGACACTACCTGCTGCACTTAAAAAAAAATGTATACAAAACTCATTCTGAGACAGCCACAATTTAACAATATACCAATAAATAACCATAAAACACTACAACTGTTGTATATAAAGCAGGGATAGGCAACGTTGTTCCTCGAGAGCCACTGCCCTGCAGCTTTTGCATGCATCTGTGATCCAACACGCCTGAAATAAATAAATGGTTAATGGCCAGGCCTCTGCTAAACTTACCAACATGCCAAGGAGGTAAATTAGCTTTATGTTTCAGGTGTGTTGGAACAGGGATGCATGCAAAAGCTGCAGCACAGTGGCTCTTTGGTAAAGACTTTGCCTACCCCTGCTTCATATCCTACTTGTGTGGTGTTTTTATGGTCGTTTATTGTTAAATGCATGCATCTAAAGGTTGTGAATGAATGAATGAAGGAAAGAATGAAGCAATGAATGAATGTCACCTCGCTCTGTAGATGCCGGATAAGAAAACCATTCACCTGATTCAGAGGTGTTCAATGTAAAACATGCAGAACACCGCCCCTTAAGGACGGAGTTTGGATGTATCTTATGCACAAAGCCTAATGAGCTTCTCGAAGCTTAGCTAAAGCACAAAATGATCAAACTATGCATTAAAGCACAGTTTCACTTGAACCATGCTTACCATTCACTAAGGGACAACTTGATCAAGCAAATGTATAGGCCTTATATATAGAGAGAAAGAGAGATTTATTGTTAAATGGTCCTTCTACTTTAGATAAATGTCATTTTGCTATTTAAACCTCTCTGGTTGCTCATTCTTTCACTGCTATAAGGTGGAGGCCTGTTGATGCCAGTGATATTTGGGACAAAGTGGTTCTCAGTCTTTTTATTAAACTTTGAGAAACAGACATGTTGACTGTGTAGCTCTCTGTGTGGTGTAGGAAAGCCTTCACATTAGAAAATATTTACCAAGAGCCCCCTCTAGTGGTTTTGTTGGGTAAAACGCATTTTGGACTAGGGCCTGATTTTCTTATGATAAAATAGAAACAAAATGTATTTTGTCTTGCATGCAAGGACTCACAGAATGCATATTTTATTTAAGAGAAGTACTCTGCAGCATTCACCTGCAGACTGAGGATACACTGTCAGATTAATCATATATTTTTTAAATAAAGTATTTCTGGAATGACTTTGCTCTGTTGTGCTCAAGTGGAAAAAAAAATCTCATTCCCGAAAAAACATAAGCAACCAGGTAAGTCAGGGGAAAAAAAAGTCTGATCTGCCTGATCTGATGTATTTATATTGAAAAGATTAACTTTCCCTGCAGGGGGATGACATTAGAGGGGCAGTAAGTGGCTTATTGTATGTGATCCTGGACAGAAGAAGGAGAGAGCGGAGAAAAGGAAAACAAAAAATATAACAGAGGACAGCCGAGGAACAATAATGGAGGCAGTAAAATGGCGATAAATTCAGCTGGTGGACAGAAACATTACGTGCTAATTACACTCATTCAATCAGCCACTGCTGCAGCGGATGGTGAGCGGCCTTCTCACCATTTAAGTGCGCAGAGGTGGGGGTCACCCTGCATCTTTTGAAGAAGGCGTCAGTGTCTGGGTCCACCACCAGCAGCCGGGTCACGTCTCCTCCCGCTTTAATGGCGGCGACAACCTCTGAATGCGTCTTCCCCTCCACAGACACACTATTCACCTGAAGAAGATAAAAAAGGATCACTTTAGATCTCTTTACTTTGACTACACAAGTCAGAAATAAATCCTGCTTCTTTTTTTTTCTCCCTCCCAGTGCGATTGTTCCCACACAGTTAATCACTGTCAGGACTTCTTTTCTCAATATTATCAAGCCAGGAAATCCTGTGTCCACACACAGGGGTCCTGCACACATTCCTGCGTTTATTTACTCTTTTTTTTTTATTTGCTTTAAGAACTGCACAATCATCACGTTTTAGCTTTGAGATCAGATTATTTTTCGGTATAAATCTCCATGGGAAAGCATGTGAGAAATGTCTCCAACCATGTGTGTGTGCTTGAGCCTTTAGGTCACAGGGTGGACCTCCACGACTGAGCTCAATCCTGCGGAGGAAGCTGGACAATAGCGGCTTGGCCAGTAAGAGCAGTAACAATGGCCGTCCGCTCCTCACAAAGCCCCTCCGTCCTCAGTGGGTGGCGTGGCCGTCTGGGGCCCTCTCAGGGAGTGGAAACCTAACTCAAGACTCTGAAACAGAACGTTTAATCCGGCTGCTCTTCCTTTCATTATCTTTACTGTATTGTTTCTTGCACCAGACCATCCCTCTGACTTAACCCTGGAAGAGGGACAAACCACATAGCTTCTTTTGTAGTATTGTAAATTTTTTTAATCTCCCTTCCAAATAGTCTGATATTCCGTTTCTATGTAGAGTTTTCCAGAAGCTTCTTGAGTTTTAAACATAACATGCACTGAGGACTCTCAGTGTTCACAGACCCATCCAGCCTTTACAGGGTATTTATGCTCCAGGTATATATTTATATTTTGTAGTAAGTTTCATTTCATTCTAATGGTAAGTAGCATATTTAAAAAGCTCTGAAAATTGCATTGTACCATATATTAACATATAAATGAACTTAACTACTGAAAAAAGGAATACCTACAGGGCCACCCTGCAGAAAGACCCCCACAACATAATGCTGTTACATTCCTGCTTTACAGTTGCATGATATTCACAGGCTTTCCTGTTTTTTGGGTGGATTTTCTGTAGTTTTTTTCCAACTGTAACAGCTGCCAATTCATTTTACAGTAATTTTCGGACTATAAGCCGTGACTTTTCCCCCACCTTGCTGCTTATATAACAATGCGGCTTATCTATGGACTTTTACAGCTAACGGCCACTAGGGTAATACCTAAATCTATGGATTTTACCATCCACCATGTTGACATCACATTTGCTTCAACACACAAGTATGGTAGACGCGTGCGCGGGAAAGCAGAGGTCCTCCGTAAGCAGACTTCTACCGCGAGTGGTTCGAGACAGAACGACAGCGAGAAAGACAGACATTGCGAGCGCAAAACAGTTTGTGTGACACCCTCATTATGGAAAACAAACGTACCGGTTTATAAATGGGAGCTTCTATTGCACTAAATTGTAACAGTTAACGTATGCATATATGCAAATTGTGTTGAAATGTTAATAAATAGGAGCTTCCCCAAACAGTTGCCTCTTTCCTGACAATCCTCTCTGTGCACGAACCATATGGTAATTAAACATAAAAAACCTGCGGCTTATACTCCACTGCGGCTTGTATATGCACAAATCATGCAATTTAGCTTCTGCGGCTTATACTGAGGTGGGGCTTATAGTCCGAAAATTACGGTACATAACATTCAGTCATTCACCTATTCAAACACACTCACACACTGATGGTGGCAAACTACACTGTAGCCACAGCTGCCCTGGGGCTCACCGACAGAAGCGAGGCTGCCGTATACTGGCACCACCAGTCCCTCCAACCATCATTGCTTTTTCAATGATGGCTTCTTCCTCTCTGAATGGCTTTTCAGTCCATATTGATGCAGGACGCATTTCTTTGTAGCTAATGCAATCTCTTTGAAGTGCCCCTCAGCAGCTTTATAAGGTCTTGTTTTCTTTGTGGTGATGCACATATTTCACTAAGACATGTTCCTCTCGGGTACAAAGAACAGGTGAATTAAAATTGATTTTATAAAGAAAGGACCCTTAAGGACTTTTTCCTTCTAAGACGTCAACTACTATTTAAAAAAACAATCAAAAAAGGATAACACAGTTACAGTACTGGAACACAAAACAGATCTGAGGTTTTTCACTTTAAACTGCTCAGTATTACACATCTAGTTAAGAAATGATTGGCACTTTAATTTTCTAACCTGTCCGTTGATACCAGTCATTTAAACACTGTCTCAGTTTCATTTATTATGTTTCATTACAGATAGTTTTCTGCTTCTGCTTCTAGTACATTTAAGACTCTACTGAATATCAGAAAGCCTCGTTGAAGTTTCAAAATAAAATTTCATTAAATGACCTTTGCTTCAGTTGAGAACAATTAATACTGACTGATAAAAACTACATACAATCATTTCCACACATGAAGCTGGCAGATCACAGACCAGAGGGAATATAAAAGGCTTTCAATCCTAAACCACAGTAGGTGAGGTCTGATTACACAACGCACACAATTCTTCTCTATTTTTGTCTAAGAAACCTCAGGCTGACGAGAGCGGAAATATGCAAGACTAATCAGGATACGCCTAGGGGAATGTTTTCTAGTCAACTCTAAAGTTCATTTCTATGAGAATGAATCTGGATGTATCCTACCAGACATCTTCTTAGTTTTAATGATGTCTAATAAAGTCTCCATTTATTATCTGTGGCCGTTAAAAGCCCTGTGCAGCTTCAAAGGACTCCAGCCTTTTAAAACTACCTCTACTATCCTGTCCTTAGGCTGCAGGCCGGCCCTCTCAGCTGGAGAGTCTTCATCCACCGCTCTGATGTACTGGCCCGGCCGCGCCCGCTCGCTGTGCAGGTTGAAGCCATATCCATTGGACCCTCGTTGGATCACGCACAGACGTGGTCGCAGCTCGATGTGCACCTCCTGTAGGAGAAAACACACGTTAGTGATCTGAGCAGCAGGGGAGCAGCACCAGGTCAGTCCATGGATAAAAAGGAAATACCTCCACCATGGGTGTCAGTTCAGAGAGCACGAGGGGCACAAAGATGACTGACAGCTCCTGTGAGTCGTTTACCATGAATATAAAGCCGAGGGCGAACATGCAGCTGTCTGCTGCTGCATGCTGATGTGTTGTGCTCTGTATTTTCAACAATCAGGGGTAAACTTTAGCAGCCGTTTTAGGCCCACGTGATTCCGATTGCTCGCCAGGAAGGAAAGGGGGTCTATGATTGGAGGTCTGTGGGGAAGGTGTCTGGAGTATTTGTGAAGGGGGCTCTAAGGAAAAGGGACCGGTTCCGGAGCGGCTCCGAGAAGGACAATGGGAGCTGGGCGTCGACCACTGGTCGCCTCTCCCATCCTTGTCTCGGCCAATCCTGCGCTGGGATGGCAGGAAGAGTCAGAGCTGTATTGTCATCCAGGAAAAAAAAAAAAAAGCTTGATCCCAGAACCTCCCTTCCTCTGTTAGGATGAAACCAGTTTTAATTTTAGCTTTTCTTTTTGAAGGGGTGGGACTATGGTTGCGTCATCAAAGAGGACAGGACAAAGTAATGAGCAAAAGACAAGAGCTTTAGATTGTATTAAGAGTCAAGGTGATCTCCACCACCACACCTGACCTTACACTCCCTCAGGCATAAAAGCAGCTGCTCTCCGACCCTCCCTTAGTAAATGCAACGCTTTTAGGAGAAATCAGTGCCTCATTAAAAGCACCTAAAACCATCGACTGCACACATTTCACTACCCGAGGCAGCTTGACGCAACATTTTGTCCTGTAATGTAGAAACCATTGAGCTATTATCTCTTCAATATGTTATGTAAACCAGCAGTTCTGAGGTAACCATCCCCTCCCACATCCAAACTGCTCTGCTTTGCTCTGCAAAGAACCTAAAATGAGAAATTCAAAAGGTTACAGAGAAGTTGAAACGTTTAGAGGAAGACAGAGAAACTGTAAGAATGATCTGGAACAGTTCAAACACAAAGAGGGAAAACAATAAATACCACTGGAGGAACTGGAGGAAGCAATGGCTTCATTTCTTAGAAATCATCTAGTTACAGACAAAACCGGCCACAACAGAGTTGTGTTTAATAAATACGGATGTCTGTGACCCTTTGTGGGAACCCAACGGCCGAGTGAAAATGGAAGAGCTAGCATTTAACAGAGCTAGTCATGTTAAATGCTTACATGAGACTCTATCCACTGTTTAATAGCTTTCCCTTTTGATATACTTGAAACAATGACAGCATTTTAAAGAGATAAAAACATTTTATATAAAGGCTTCATAAATGTCGATCTGTTTAATAAGCATTGCTATGTATCGGTGTGAACAGTCTTTTAATTGCTAAAATACCGGTAATCTAAAAAAAAAAGGCTTGAGTCAGTAAGCTGTTAGCCCTAAGATATTTCTTCCATTTTTAAAAAAGATTTTTCCATCTGTTTATAACAATTTAGGATGATAGATGAATTAGAAAAGGAAACTAAATCTGAATCTGAATGCTAAATGTTTTTTTTTCTAATCCGTGAATAAATATACTCTGATTTAATGTTTTAATTTTCAAGAATTCTTTAAATGTGTGGTATTTTTCCTTGAAACTATTTTCAGAATACTGTTTTCAGAATACTGCCTAAGTGGAATAAAACATTCATCCCAAACGATTATATGCAAGCGAGTGAAATAAAAAAAACAAGTAAACACTCAAGCATGTCTGTAAATTATGCCTATAATTGTTTAAAAATTTAAGTCTAAGTCTACTGTTACATTTGGTTACTGCTGCACTTTATGGAATGGAAACGTTATTTAATGTCTTAAAAGCTGTACTGAACGAAATTTTGTTTTGTTTACACTCTGTTTATACACGTTGACAATAAAAGTTGTCTAAATCTAATTTGCTAGATTTAAATATTTTCCTTTTGGATTATAAGGCACTAAATATTCAAGGGCCAAAATGCTTTTTTGAGGAACTTCCTCATGAGTGACTGAAGTGTGAAAATTAAGATTAAATCCAAATTTGCATTATCGCAAGCATAAAACGTTCCGTTTTATTGTTTGCCTTTTATTTTGATGCAAAGCACTTTAGATACCTTGTATATGAATAGTAACTTGCCTTGCCTTACCCTTAGAGTGCAGATGTAAATTACAGAGCCAACAAAAAGGTGGAGTCTGCTTTAAATGCTTCATTTTGCATCAGTGGATTGTTTTCTACGGTTATTGATGTTCCCCAAATGTTGCAAGAAGCCTCGGCAACATTTTAAAGCTATGTTTAACCCAGTAAAACCATCTCTCTCGTGCAACATTAAGACCTTTGATTCACTGTTTGCTGACATCTGATGCCGTACGTGCTAATCAGCCAAACCCTCTATTCTCACACCAGTGTGAGAGCAGTATGGGTTTCACTGCATATACTTTTTGTTTTTGTGCTGATTTCTCTTTCACGTTAGGAAGTTGATCCAACAGACGGAAGCATATTGAGGAAAGATGTGTCGACAGTTCCTGTGCTTCACTTCCCCTCTTTAAAGAGAAAGTCGGAGTCCCTGCAAGTGTGCTCATTTAAAAAAAACATGTTTTAATTCTGGGAGGAACGCTACCAAAAATCTGAAAAGACAACATTTGACTTTGATCTTTCATACAAATGCGGCAAATGTTGATATGTGAGACGAGATGTTAGGGATTATTTTCAAAGCTTCCTCCGAGATGCAGGGCTTCACACGGCTGGGAATATGCTGTATTATTCTGAGCCATGTTACAAAGGGAAATTAGGGATTTTCACAGCCTGTCTGTAGGCTTTGCATAACCAAACAAACTCTGAGTAAACAGCGTAAGTTGAGGATTCAGTCTGTTTTCCTTCCCCATGTCGTTTTCTTTCACACGATTTAGGGTCTGGGAAGAAAGCTGAAACAAGTAAAATGTCAAGGATTATACAAACTCTACTGAACTGAACTAAACTTGGGCCTTGGCAGTCAGTAAATATATGCTCTTCTCAGTGTGATGTGCACGGATTGTCTGTCCTTGCACAAATGATTGCTGTTATAAGTCAGTTGAATCAAACTCAGTTAGCTTATTTCCTCTGAAATGTATCTACTATTGTACATTTTGTGTTTGTCATGTTAAAGCACTGAACAGTTGATGTTCAATAACATTTGCCAGCGTCTTGGATTCCCATCTCGGCTTATGTTTGCTCAGCAGATTCCACAGATTGCCGACCGGCGTGAAGATTCCTCGGCCCTCCACTCCCCCATGACACAGACCATCCTCTGTTGTCCTTGCAAGGGTGCGTTGCATCGTCTTCACAGTCACAGGGGTGCCTAAAGTCAGTTGGAGCGCCCACCAAATGCCAAGAGTTCAGTGCCATAGTAGTACTAATCTATCTGCTTTAAAGATCTATTAAACATCTGCCTTTCTGGGCGTAACTATATCAAAGTCTAATAATAGGTTCAATATGATCAAAAAAACGTGTACGATTTGGAATGGGAAAAATTACCACAAAATTGCAAAAAAATCAGTTAAAGTGGGAGGTTTTGAATAGATAATAGTTTCTACACATGGAGAGATGCAAAAACTATTCTGTAAAGGGCCAGTTTGAAATAGACACCCTGTCAACTACCGCTGACATGGTTATTGTAATGGTTAGCTCTTAACTAGATCATAAGGTTGAAATAAAAACAGCCCAATGCCTAGAAAAGCACTGGCGCAGACCTCTGCCAAGCAACACATTTTCCCCCCAAATTGTGACTAACACCAATAGATAAAACTCACACATGATCAAGAAAAGCTTGAAAATTTGGTTTAGGCAACTGAGGCAAGTTTTCTAGAAGACATTTCGCCTCTCACCCAAGAGGCTTCTTCAGTTCTAACTGCTAATTGGGAGCACTGAGATCAATATACTGTAGGTGTAACGAACATTTAGGGGAAAAAGAAAAGGTGGTTCTGTCACATGCCTTGTTGAAGTGTGAGGCAGGTGAGACGTCAATCTTCTGGGTATTGTTCCTAAAATGCTTGTAGTTGGGTGAAAAGTTATGTCTAAGACCACCTCCTCTGTTGAGAGATGTTTTTTTCCAGGTTAACAAGGATGGCTTTCTTAACCCCTCTCTCAAACCATCTCCCTTCGTTGGCCAGAAGACGGATCAAATTTAAATGAATTTTCCTTGGCATGAGGTGCACCTCTGGTAAAAATGTCATTAAAATCCATCCCAAATTATTCAAGCTATCCTGTAAAAAGACAGAGAGACAAACACACACACATTCTCCTAAAAATATAACCTCCTTGGCAGGAGGTAAAAGCTTAAAATAAATGACATCCAACAAATAAATCCACAGGAGAATTTCTTTATGGTCTTTTTTGTTTTGCTTTGAACCCAAATAAAAGAGAAAAGTTATAACTTTTACATTAAGAAGAATAAGAATAATCATCATAAAATCATATTCTACTATTCTTATAATCTATTTCTCACACCAGATTCTCCATCTCTCTGATAGCATCCTGACAAAATGATGAACTATTTATGCGAATAGTGATGTTACTTAGAAACTAAATAACAGCCTGAGGCAACTTTTCTCACATAAAACTGAGACTTTTGGGCGTTAGCAAGAGGCTTAGAGTCCTTTTATTGTGTTTAACCCATACTCTAATGTAACATGCATGGTTAGGACAGGTTTGGTAGCCTTTGCAAAGCTCAGGGCTAAGAGAAAAATCTGCATTGTTAAGAATCTACACAGGGATTGCTGTTTAAGGAATTGAAGTTATTCTAGGCATGGTAAAAACAGCCTCAAAACGTAAAACGTATTATCAATATTTATTTATATATATATATATATATTTCATATATCTTTACTATCGGTCTTAAATAAAAGTTGGAACATAGAAGAGTCAAAATCAGTGTTTTCAGGTCAAAGGTTTATGAAATAAAAAGGGTTGAATAGAAAATTCCTCAA